AATTTTATTATAGAAAAACAAAATGATGAAAAATTAGATTTTTGTAATGGAAATCTTTAAAGAAAGATTATGGGTTTTGATACATTGTATTGTGCAAGTGGCTGTGAGAGATTTGTCATGTGAGAATGAGAATTTATAAAATTGTCAATTGGATATGAGAGGATTGAAACTGTTTAATTAGGCAGGTTAATTAAGAGTAATTGAATTTAGGCTACTATTTGGGACTAATTTTTTTAGTGAGTCATTAATGTTTCTGATGATCCACCTACTAATATAAAAAGGTGGATTTGATGATTTTCATTATCTTATGATGATTTTCTTCCGATATTTAGATTCTTCACCATAGCATAAATTTTAAAACAAATGAAGCATTTTCTTCGCATCACATGTCAGTTTATTTGTTCAAATTTAAGGGCTTTAATTTGAAGACACGAAGTTTTAACTTTTTAGTGTTTATGAGTTGTTAGCTATTTGTATATCAATTAATACAATAAAATATTAATTTAATAATAAGATGATCGATTAAATTTTTTTTTTAACAATAATGAAATAATATAAAGATAAAATACACCACAACCCCAAAATCGGTTTTCTTAGAGACGATTAGTTGAGTTTAATTGAGTGTACGTAACATTTTTTTAACAACATGATGTTAACAAAAAGTTTTGCACGAGTGGTTGGTGAATACCTAGGTTGCTGAGTATAATGATACTATGGGGGATGAAGGGGGAGAACTGCACAAGAAAATTAATACATCACATCCATCTCTGTTTCCAGGAAATTGAAGGAGAAGACACAAATAAGATACGGGGCCAGAATTCAAGTCAAATTCAGAGATAAAATGCTTCTTTCTTTTTCCTCACTAGATCAAATATTTGACACATGGAGCAGAATGGCAAAAGATGGTTAACCTGTTTTTGTTTTTTTCTTTCCATTTGTTTTGATGGGAATTGAAAGGATTCATTGCATAACTGTTTTAAGAGCCAACTTTGTCAAAAAAACAACATCCTACCCCTGCTGTGATCTTCCTTCTTTTTTTTCTTTTTTTTTTTTCTTTCTTTTGCACTTAATTATAAACTATATATAAGAGATAACAACCTTCTTTTATTTCTAAATCTTTTCGCACCAAACTCAAGGTTATATAAAAGTGTATATCTGATCTTATTTTTTTTTTCTTTACTTTATTTTGTAAAAGAAAAGTTTGAGGCATCCTATATTCTCTCTTCTATGAAAATTAGAACTGCAAAACCACGGTAGCTGCAACCTTCATGTATCTTTTCTGCGGCAAACCAACCTGTCTATCATTTTCTCGCCTACACGATAGAATTAACCTGAGTAATCCAAAGAAAACTCCAGGGGAGTTTATGTGATTTTAGAAAGGTATTACTACCCAGCAGCCGCCGAGATGGACAATTTTTATTTAAAAAATAAATAAATAAAATGGATTTCGAAACACGATGTGGAAAATTATAACTGAAACCCGTCACATGCAAAGCAGAAGAGGTTGAGTGAAATGAAGATGCTCTTGTTTCCTAAAAACATAAAAAAAAAATTGCAAATAGTTTAGCTCTACTAAAGCAACACTTCTTTTGTATTCTCCATATCTGTCCACCCCCATGTGCTAGGATGCCCCATCCTTCCTTTTCTTTTTTAAAAACTTCTAAACAAACTGCCAAAAACCCCTTATTTCCCCTCCTAAACATCTCTATTAGCCTAATCAGAACGCATCTTCCCTTCTGTTCTTCTTCACAAAAACTCGACATATGGCACTTTATTTGCCAATGACACACAATCAATCATCATTCTCTTTAATTTTATAAAACTTTTCAATTTTTTATATATAACAAATTAAACCCTTAACCTTAATTCCAAAACCGAATTAAGGACTCTAACCATTCTTTTTAAAGAACTTGATTGGGTGAGCGCCAAAAGGACCCAATTGGATTCACGGGTCCATGTGCATGCTATGGGGGGTAGAGTTCATCCCCCCAAACGTCACATTAAGCATTCTAAAGTACCCTACTTGTTCATACAAAAGGATGATATATATCATTTTATATTTCCATTGTATAAATACATCTCCAATTCCAAACAAATTGAGTAGAAACAAATAATTATAATGAAATAAATAAATAAATAAATAAAAACCTTTTTATTTTTTTTAACATAATTACAATTGAGAGAGAAGATAAAGAAAAAAAATATATATAATTTAAAACAATAACTTATAAACAGTGGCGGAACCAGGGGTGCGAGGGGGCGTTCGCCCTCCCTGAAATTTGAAAATCTTACAAATCAATATATAATTAGTATATGAAAAATTATCTAGCCTTCCCTAAACTTTGAAAATTATAGCGTCTTGCCCTCTCTGAAAAAAATTTCTGCCTCCGCCCCTGCTTATAAAGATAATCTCATTAATTCAAGATTAATGCTATTAGGTTAAAACGAGCCGATAAAAGAAAAAAAAAAACCCTTCTATTATTTGCATGTATCGTAGAAGTAGATGCCACATTAAATAATTTTACTTCCTTTGTTTTGTTCAGACAATTTTTTCAGGAAGATACGGGGAATATATATGCAGGATTTTTTTAAGGGCATTTCTGATATTATGACAAATTATCAGGTTTTTTCTTTTTTCTTTTTTTTTTAACCCGATATTTGCAATTCTCCGACTAGATCATGCCAAAAATAATCCCGATTCCCAAGGGCGGTGATGACGTGGCAGTTAATGTTTAAATTCAACCACTGGGATCGAGGAACACCGTTATCCCACGTCAGAGATAAATGCTGACATGGCACTGTCGTCTAGCAGGGTGGGACCCGATCAATAAGATTACTGCACACGTGGCAGGAATTTGAGCCTTTGAGGAGCTAGAGCTCGATGGGTGTACTTTAAACAAAATAATAATAAATGAAATTAAAATTTAGAATTATATA